AATTGTGAGCTCTAAATTTTCATTCTTCTCTTTTTCTTGTTTAGTGTTATTTGGTTGGGCTATGTTTTTTTTTTTCCCAACAATGAAGGTCTTACAATTTACTAGTTATGATTTCTTATTTAGCCTAAGGATTATGAAAGATTTTTTGATGCCCTGAACCTAATTTCCCTCCATATTTTGCAATTAATGTTTATGTCTAATGTTCTATGAAAATTGAGGTGCTGAGATATTTCTTGTTGTATGTTCGCCATCTTCATCATCATTAGCCTCATAACAATTATTTGTGATATGCGGTATGAATCATTCCTCATTTATTATGTCGAGTAATATATATATAGTGCTATTCATAATCTAAGAGATATGATCAGTCTAGTTTGGAATGATCAAAGCTCAAAAGATATTTAAAAGCTCAAATGTGTCATATCGAATATGAAGAAGAGAAGTGGATCTAGATAAAATTTGAAGTAGGATGACAAATACTTTATGAAATTTTGAAGTTTGAGCACTAGTTTGGAATTTTTATGGAATGAATTTTTATCCATGAAATATGTAGTAGAATTTTATGAAGGCCTTCGAATAGAATTGAAGCTTTTTTGACTTGCCAGCTTCTTTAAATCTAGACAAAAGTTATAGCACTTAAGGAAAGAAAATCCTTTTTGTTGATAAGAAATCCCAACTTTTGACTGTTAATTAGAATATCAAGAGCTTAGCTATAGAGGAGCATGGCATTAATCCACGGTGTCGCTATCGTAAAAGGCTATGGTTCAAGTTTAAGGATTGCTAGAAGTAGAAGAAGCCCAATTGGTAAGATTTAAAGGAAAAAAAAAAAAAACTCATTATTACAGAAGTAGTTGAAGTAGTAGAAATGATTGATGGATATTATCAAATCATTCCGTTGAAAGTAAAGATTGAAGTCATTAGGGGTTAATAGGTGTTGAAGGATTGTCGTTTGAGGAGCAAAGGAACTTGGACCGTTGGATTGTGATTTAGGCCCCGTTTGGGGCAGCTTATTGGGAGCAACGGCGTTTTGAAAACGCCGTCTCCGCCGCCTCCCTGTTTGTTTAACACGTTCGCACTGGCGTTCCTCTCCCGCACGGCGTCTCGTTGGTTAAATTCCTTTACTCCTTCGACGTTGTCCGAGCTCCGCGTCCCGCGTTAGCCATCCGCGTTGCCCTAGGAATTCCGGAGGTGCCCTCGATCTCCCTTGCCTCTTCCCTCGCTGGTTTTCTTTATGGTTTGTCGTCCTAGAGGAGATCGAACCTTCTTCCTTTCGAAATTTTCGTTCCTGATCATCAGGTATCCCATTGATTACCCTAGCTGTGAGCCGTGAGATGCTTTCTTCTCTGATATTCTCTCTGAGCAGTGTTGATGTATGAAATGAAAATTTTTATCTTTTTCAGGGGAAATATGATGAGATTAAGGGTTTTTAGGTGTTGCCCAGTTTAGATCTATGACATTAGTTGTTTTGGGGATCCTGTGGCTTCTGGCATTTTCTCTGGTTTTTCGGTTTTACGCATGTTGAGAGTTGTTTTGGGGATCCCGTGGCTTCTGCAATTTTCTCTGATTTTTTGGTTTTACGCCTCTTGAGAGTTGTTTTGGAGATCCTGTGGCTTCTAGCATATTCTCTGGTTTTCGTTTTTACGCCTGTTGAGATATGTTTCATTTTCTATGCCCCAATATTTTGGCATTTTAACTGGTTGTTGGATTTGGGTTGCTAGCTGCGATCCTGAATTTGATTTTGGGCATCTGTTTTGTGGTTTTGGCGATCCTGGATTTGTTTTAGCTGTTGCTTGTGTGGTGGCAAATTATACACTGACTTTCTGTTATGGAGTAATTTGACATAAGGGAGTCTTGATTTGGTTGTACAGTGGTTTTCATCAGTGAAAATGCTATTAATCCATGTCTTCGAGCAAACTCCTAGAATTGTGGGTGAGAATTCATTACCTGAGGATAATGTATATTCTAATGCATTTGGAGATCATGATGGTGAAGGTTTGACTGATATGATTGCTTTAAGGGAGTCTCTCACATATGCTATCTGTGACTGTTGAGATTATAGGTTTATATTCATATACTTGTAATTTTGGTTTTTGTTAAAATATCTTGATCTGAAATTTGGTTTTTTTATATTTGGTTTTTTTATACACACATGACTTCTAGGATATCAGTTACGGATAGAAGTATTTTGTGTTATTGTGGACTATCGTCTCCGTTGCTCCGTTGCTCACATCACGTCAGTCTTATAGCTTTGGGAGGCAGTTTTACGATTGTGTCAAGGGTGTTTCAGCTCGTTGCAGTTTCTTCCGGTGGGCTGACAGTCCCACATATTACACTTCCAACAGTCATGGGAATGCAATGTTTTCCGAGTTTGATAGTGCAAATGAGGAGAGACGTAGCCAAAGTTTCAAATTAAATATTTTAAAATTTCTCATTGTAGTTGTACTTGTTTTTGTACTTTTTTTATTTCTTCTGATACTTACGAGAATGTGAGAACTGTATGTTATCTTTTAGAACTGATCTGTGATGATTGTATGCTTCTGCACTATATGCTTCTGCACTACCAATAAACTATTCTGAATAAGCTGTCCCAAACAGTTTTAGCAGACAGAGGCAGGAATGTCATTTAACCACCAATAAACTAATATGAATAAACTGCCCCAACCAGCAGACCAGATTATTCTGATAATCTACAGATTATCAGATTCTCAGAATATCAGCAGATTATAAATAATCAACAGCTGCGCCAAACATACCCTTAGAGATTAACATTATTAAAACAAATTTTGAATTTTATCTGAATATTTTTGTAATTTAAATTTAAAATTTAAAATAGGAGTTTGTTATGATAATTTTTTGTTTTATTTTGGTTATAATTAAGTATGATTTTTGAAATAAGAACATGAATTAAATTTCTCAATTCTTTCTGATCTCTCTCACAATATCTTGTCTCCTATTGTTGTCAGCCCTGATCAGCCATAGAAATACCTTGCTGTTTCTAGCAATTCTGGCAGAGGGATAGAAAACTTGCTGTAACTGAAGGAATAACCTTAGGGGAGAACTTAGTTCCTTGGGGGCTGTTTGGTTGGCTGCAAAAGGGGTTTATTACATCCCTTTTGCTGTGAAAGGGTGTAGGTGTTTTGAGATTTGGGACGTTTGGCTTAAAGAATTTCAAGTAAAGTGTAAAATAACAATGCTTTTTGAATTTACTCATTTCATTTTCTTTGTATTTGAGAATCAATGGATTTAGGCGAATTCCAATTGCACAGCTCCATGTAAAGTGTCATTGCCAGTCCTGCCGCCCATAGATGCGCCATCTGCTGCCCGCCTCTCGCTCACCAGCCCACCAGCTCGCCGCCCACCTCCTGCCACTGCCGCTGCCTGCCTCTTAGCTCGCCAGCCCACGGACGCCGCCTACCGATGCCCACTGCCTGTAGACTACCGCTGCAGCTTGCAGCCCGACTCTACTGCTCATATTTTACATCAAATTCAATTTTCTTTGAACCAAACAAGAAAATGCAACAAGAAAATGCAAAGTCCTATATTTATTTTACATTGTACCAAACACCTTTAAAAAATTTCAAATACAATATATTATTTGTATATTACATTCATTTTACACAGCATTACTTTTTCATCCGACCAAACAACGCCTTAAAAGTAATCTTTAATATAAATACTCATAAAATTTTGACCTGTTTGAAAAGACTTTCGAACATCCAATCATGATTAATAATGGTTCTTCATGAAGGGGGGTTCTATATTTCTCTTATTGTAGGAGTTGGTGGTAGAGGTAGGGTTATATATCTCTGTGTGGGTGTCTATGGCTGATGGCTGGTCTTTTGAAGGTAGGGGCTACTATACGTATTGGCAGATGAATGGTTTAGCTCTTCCTCCCTCTCTCTCTTTTCTCCCACCCTGTCTATCTCTACCCCTCTCTCTTTATCTCTCTCTGATGACTTATTCAGTTGGAATTAGATGCTGAATAGTAATAGTGGAAGATGAAGGGCTTCATGTGCTTCATCATAAGCAAGTTTCTATTCATGCCTTCCAGGATCCATCTATGAAAGTTTGCCTTCTTATTTCTAGTGGTAGAGTACTGGTCTTTCCACTATGGATTTGATCTCCCCAAATACTCTCTCTCAGGTGTTACATTTTAAGAATGATATTAATTACCATCAAACCTTGAGCCAATGTAATGCCAACAAGGTTAGCTCAACGTTCTTCGGGTTTGTCTGTTAAATAAGCAAGCTAAATTATTTACTTATTTTCAAAATTTACATATGCAGCACACAATTTTTATGTATTTACATATTTCATACCTAAACTTTTGTATTATATGCATAGCATTATGGTGTTTTAAACCTATTCATGAAAATGTGTGTTTCACTTTTAAAAAGTGATAGTAGTATTATCTTTTGATACGATGCTAAAGTTTTGAGTGATGTGTGTAGATATGAAAGTTTAGGTGGGAGATATGTAAATAAATAAGAATTGTGTGCTATGTATATAAATGCCCATTTTTTTGTGAATTTGACTCGTCTGGTTGTCAAGCTGAACACTGTTGACAAACATACAACCTGTTTGGAAGTTATATATAAAATGAACCAAGTATTGTAGTACAGAAATTCTGTATGCCTCAGTTCACATTATTTTTTTCATGGAAGATTTACATACATACCATTCAATTCCTATGTATTTACATATCTAACACCTAAACATCAATTTTTACATTTATGGTATCTCACATATGCATAAAAAGGTGTCTGTTCACTTTTTAAATGTTTAAGGACTAATATTTTTGTTGTGATATGAAAGATTTGGTTGCCAAAAATGTGAAAAGTGCAAGTTTAGGTATTATCTTTGTAAATAAATAAGAATTGGGTGGTATCTTATGTATTTAAATGCCCTTCTTTTCTTATATAACTTGTCCTGATGCCTTGGAAACTTTACTTAAGTCGCTCTCTCCCTTTCTCTCTCTCTCTCTCTTTTTTGGCATACAGGAACAGCAGAAATGAAGCTTGCCAAAGACTGATGTCATCAGTATCTTCTTTTCATCTATATTTTCTGCTTGATCAGTCAGCTGCTGCTTCATTTTCTCTTGTATCTGAACCAGCTTTCTATTGCTATCAAATTACTGGAGAACAGTGAATATTATGTATTTCTATCTTCAAATTGCATTAAGTGAATAATACGGGTCTCTTTTAAAAGTTCATGAAATGAATGTTTTCTATTGTTTTTGCATTCCTTCAGCAAAATATTTATTTTGGAGATGATTTTTGGTAGCTTGCTCTGTGACTATATGTACACGCATGCATATACTCCACAAAATGAGTCGATCGGTCATGGCGAGAGCAACAAATGAACATTGTGACACAACACGATCAAAATTGGAATGTCTTGAACATGCTAAAATTCACCTTGAACAATGCTCTTTTAGTAGAACGAACTCCACCGTCACATTCAGAACATTAGAGTTACCCAAAGAGGGGACTTTCATGTTTAAAAGGAAAGAGCACGGTGAAAATGAAGGCGACAACGCAACGCGCTTAATTCAAACTCAAATTATCACGATCGTCAATGAGATCTCCAAAATGATTTCCGATGATAAAACGAACCACAATAGCGCATCTTAAATGTCAAAACTCCCCGAAGAGAGGTGTTATTTGATTGAAATGGCAATGTATGGTGAAATCAACGAGCAACATGTAACTTTGGACCCAATTCATCTCGTTAATCGCCGAAAGTTGTTCACAACCTCCGATCATAAAACTGATCGTGTGAGCGTGCTTGGAACGTCTGATCTACCTAAAGAGAATATCCATATTTTGGTACATCAATAGATGACAAGTAAATCAAGGCATCTGCATATATATATATATATATTATCACGCCTCCCTTTCTCCACTACAACAGGAGCAAAGAAAGCCATTCCGTCTGCAAAGCTTGCCGATCTTGTGTTGATAGAGCCAGTGATTATGTGCTGTGTTACAGAATTTGTATGAAATGTTAACACTTCAAGATGCATCCACACCATCAGATCAACTAACCATACTCTAGAGGGACACCAGTGGGCCTCAGTGCTGAAAATAATGAGTGAATTCGCTCTAGTTAAGAATATTCCGTTGTGTTATAGAAATATTTCATCTGCGTTATTTATAAAAAATGAAATTATTCGAGTATTGAGTATTATATGGTGTTATTCGATTATTTTACGGTGTTATTAGAATATTTTCCCGCGTTACTTGATTTGATGTTGTGTTATTCGGTATACTCCCCGTGTAACTTTCACTATGTTATTGGAATAACACAGTCCAAAATCAAATAACGCGATGAAATATTAATAAGATTTATACTTGAATTTATGAAATCCCAGCGAATATAAAAAATACGCAGTGGCTTTATGAAATATGGGATTTAAGGCCCAAAATCTGGCTTCAATTCACGTTAAATCGAAGAGAATAATTTAATATATTTATGATTTACGGGTTTACTAAAGCTTATCAATGTTAAATCCTGCTTGCCGCCAAACACGACCTAGGTTTAATGCAAGACATTTTATGTCATTGAAGTTGATTAATTTTCTCAAGCTCTATGTAAATATAATACCAAGCTTATAATTGGGTCACTTGTTGTTATTATTATTAATTATTATTTTAATTTGCTTTGTTTTTTTTTTCAGATTATTTTTTTATAAAAGAATTATATTTAACTTTCTTATATATTTATTAGTCAACAAAATAATAACCTCACAAACCTTGAGGGGAAGGCTAGGACAATGAAAGATAAAATGATAATTCATGAGGGGCAAAAGACCAGATCTACCACTAGCCTATGATAGGCAGGCTTTCGTTTGCCACTCATCTCTAACAACATTGTTTGGTAAGCAAGGGAATTTATGAAATTTATATAGTTATATGAGTGTTTGATGAATATATGAATGTTAATTTTTTAAATAATAAGGATTTGGAAGACATATATGAAATTAGTCGTTTAATTTAAACTCTTTATGGTATATATATATTCTTTGCTTTGGTCTAAAAATAACAAAATGAGTTGCAATAAATTCTTTCCTTTGGTAAAAAGTTAAAAAATAAAATATTTCTTATGAAATATATTTTTAAAGTAAATTTAATCAATAAAAATAATTTGCATAAACAATCTATGTTTTTAATTTTTATTTTTAGCCATAATATATATATATAAAGCGACGCCATCCGCCTATAAATCTCTTCAGATAAGGTAAAGCATTCAAATCCCCGCTATTTCCTTCATACAAATCCCTATCCCTCTCGCGCCAAATTTCTGCATGGCCGCCGCCTCCGGCCTGTATGCAACTCCCCGTATCTACTTCCATCTGGCAAGCAATTTGCTCTGTCCAATCTGCGATGAATCTTCTCAACAGAGAAGAAATCTTAAATGGAGGACGAAGAGGAGGAAGGCGGTGCAGCTTTCCATTGCCGGCGGTGAGTATTTGGTCGAGGAGTTTGGGTGGGGAGTGAGGAGGATGAGTGAGTCGGTGGATGAAATGAGGAAGGTGGCCGATGTGCAAGCTGAGGCATTCCATGTGCCTGTTTTGTTCTTTAATGATTTCTTCTTCGAGTTCTTCAGGGTAATCGATGCTTTATTTTTTTTCTTCTGTTTGTTTGAGTTCATCCGATTCTTATTTGTTTGTGGTTTGCTATTTTTTGATGGAATTTATTTTGCTGGATCGTATCGGTGGAAGATAAGCAATTACTTCAAAGTGAATCATGCTAAGGTTGTAGCAGGAGATTGAAGCTCTTATAAGACCTCTTACGAAATTGGTTTAAAGAGAACCTGTTCTAATGAACCGAATGCTTGCGTCTCACATTTAACCTCTCTCTCTCTCTCTCTCGTTAATTGGCGGGGATTAAAGCTGATGCTGCAAGATTGACAACATAAGATAGAATAGAACCATCCCTGTTTACCTGGTTGTTTACCAAGCTAATTCACTTAATGAGGTCACTCCAAAATTGTAGGCTAGGGGAGTTTTCTAAGGGAGGTGAGTACCCTCAACGAATAATATGGGCAAATGCTCAAGTTGAGAAGTTCTTAACCTTAAGGGAATGTTCTGAACAAATATGCTCAACAAGATAATGAGTTCATGTAAAGACTCTCAACGAGTGGAAACTTTTTGGATCACTTGGTTGAGTTCAGAAGCTAAGCCATTAAGAGCCAAGTAAGGCTAGGTCTTAGGTGACTTCTTAGCAATGTGGCTTGGAGCGACTACTTGATTACCTGCACTTTAGATCACTTTGAGGAAGTTAGTTTTATTTTGAAGTGGTTCAAACGGATTTTAGTTTAGAAGATTTTCATACATACAACTCAATTCCAATGTATATCTAACACCAAATGTTCAATTTTTACATACATGCCACCTTACCTCTGCATGAAAAGGTGTATTTCAATTCTTTTAACTTACAATCGTGGTATTTCTGATGTGATAGAAATTATTTGGCTGGTATAAATGCAAAAAAAAAAATAGTTGTTAGTTATGTAAATAGATAGGTTTGGATGATATGTATGTAAATGCCCCTTCATATATGTAAAAAAAATTTAGGTGTTAGTTATGTAATTAGAAGATTCTGTAGTTCCTGTTGCGGAGTAGAAAGTAGAATTTGAAGAAACCATTCCAACAGAGAAGTCTCTTAAGAAAGTTCTTAGGGTAGACATTTTAGTAGCCAGTATTAAGAGCTACCTGCCAAGATCAACTTCTTGAAAAATACAAAAATGAGTATCGAAGTGTGTGTGGACATTTAAAGCACTAAATTGGACGAGCATGTAAACACTGTTAATTGTAAAGTAGAGAATCCCCCAGCTTAAACGTTGAAGTTGCCTCAATTAGGTGGTGGCAAGGGTCAAACTCACCTATTGCAAGTTGCCTTGTTGATCTTATGCAAGGAAGCAACATTGTAATCCTCCTCGGAGAGATCAAGTAGCTTTGGAAGAAGTATTCTTTAACTTGAAAGGATAAATCAATTCACAACTGGGGTTGATTTCACACTTTGTTAGTTGATTTTAGCAGGCTTTTTCCCTTGAAAAGTTGCTCTTGACATTAGATTCCAATGCTTCCTAGGAGAATCTACCTGATCTCTGTTTTATGAGTTCAAGGGTTTTGTATTTTGGCAAAACGCATCCCATGGAGCAAGGACCTAACCCTTGAAGATGTCATTCTTTCCTTTATTTCATGATTTCATACTTACATCATGCAAAGCAAATGAATTTTAATGGATGTTTGCTTTTCTTCTGATTATATCTATCTTTATGAAAAATTGAGAAATGTGTAGATCTTACTTTCATTTATAGTAATTAGATTGATTTGACATGACCGACAAAAAGTTAGATTGTGTTATTATCTTCATCCTCTTTGATGAAATCTGTCATTTACTGTCACAATCCGACCCGGGTCTTGGAACTTATCAAGGCAGGAACATATGGTCGGACGGTATGAATTAAATTTACTTTATTCAGTTACTTTTTAAAAGATGGAAGAGTCACTAGTCGATAAACTAAAACAATATATTTAACTTTACCTCATTACTAGTTGTCCACGTCTTCTATACTCGTTCTCATATCACTCATCTTTTAAATCACTTAATTAAACCTGAAATATTAATCTAAAATAACAGTAAACTAAACAATATCATTGAATGCTTGTACTCATAAACTATAGTAATACAAGAAAAAAAGAAGCAATATACATGTAGGACAAGCTTTTAATAAACCAATAAAAATATTTGATGTTATTCAAAAAATCTTACTATATCAATAACATATAAATATCATTATATATTTGTATAATCATCACAGGAGCATCGTCAAAAAAATTGTGTTAATTTTGACTTATCAATATTAATATCATTTTTCATATACGTGCACGATTATTTTAGTATTTTCTCACTAGCACCGTCAAATGATGACTCAATTATAATCAGTCATGCACATATAAACAGTCAACATAAATATATCAGTCATGTGTTTATCACATTCAATTTAACATATCATACACAAAATGCATGAGATTAAATGACTACAAATATTCATAAAAATATGATCGATAATGAAAGAAATAAAATATGTGCACATGTTATTAACTGTAAAATAGTTGAGGAGAAATAAATTATTATTATAAATTAAAAGTACGAGTGTCTACTTTTATTGAAGATTAATTTGCTATTTGATTTCTCTCAACTGGACATCATCGCACACCCTCGACGCCGCCACTGCCCTAACTCCTGTGTCATCCTCCACTCGTTTGCACGCCGCTCGACTCTCAGGGTCTCTCCACTCTTCAATTTATTGCACAAAAAATCATTTCGTATCCCGACTTCTCATTAACTCTCCCTTCTATTCAGTTTTCCATCTCCTCGCATCTTTTTCGGTTACCGACTCGTCTTTTTCCCTCCATTTCTTCTCTCGGGTAACTAAAACCGGGTGTTGCACTTACTACGAGAGATTGCATTGAAGTCTATACGTCTGACCAAGCAATAGATGGTTGTTCACGCCTTTTGCTTGAGCTTTCAGAGTTCATTCACTATGATGATCAACTTTTTGTAAAGATTTGTTTGTCCAATTAGTGGCCTTGATGAAGATTTTGAGAAGTAGCTATTTGATTTGATATGGCAGTAAGTAGGGCTGTAAAAGAGCCGAGCTTGAGCGAGCTTAGGATATGACAATAAGTAGGGCTGTAAACGAGTCGAGCGTGAGCAAGCTCAGACTTGGCTCGTGTTTAGCTCTTTCGAAATAGCTCGTGTTCGAAATCAACTCGTATTCGAAATTGACTCGTGAACAGTGTGTTCGTGTTTGACTCGATTTAAATATTTATGTTCGATGTTCGTGTTCGGCTCGATGTTCGGCTCGAAATTGACTCATAACCAAATATATACAAAAGAAGGTATTAACCACATTACCACACAAGATGTTATAATTTAAACTTAGATATAAATATATATAATATATTATTATATAAGTTATATATGTAATATATTATTATATTTTTTTTAATTTCGAGCTAAAACGAGCCGAACACGAGCGAACAAAGAGCTCTTCGTGTTCGGCTCGTTTTCTTAAACAACGAGGCAAACAGAGCTGTTCGTGAACAATGAGCTTTTTTGACTGCCCTAGCAATAAGGTCTTGAGATGCTCTTTTGCTTGCCAATTGGGCATATTTATGGCTATTTGGCTATTTATGTCTTTCAACTTCCCTTTCTTCCTTTGCCTCTTTGTATTCATCGATTTTCTTTCTTAATTTTGTTCAAAGATGGCAATTATTGTGCTGGATTGTCCAACAGATTTTGCTATGGTGGAATAATGATTGAATTTATGGATAAAGATGAAGCACATGGGTGATTTTTTTTGTGAAATAAAGTTGCCAGAAAAATATTCTTCAATATTTACATACTCAATTAGGTGTTGGATTTAAAATTTTTGTGTGGAAAATAACCTAGATTTTATTTAAGAATCAATCATGCTAAGATACAAGAAGGATAAAGAAGTTATCTCTTTAGGAATTGAAGAATTAGTGCGAAGAGAACCTGTCCGAATATCTTTTAAGTTAAGAAGGATGAGTTGAAACGAGTTAAAGAAACATAATTCAAAGAAAAAAATATATCTCAATTCAATTTTAAGGAAATCAATGGATCAAATTTGATGTGGCAGTTTGAACTGAGTTAATCAAAGACTATGGTTGATGCCATAGATTTGGTGACTTGATACAACTATGTAAAATAAAGTAGGTGATCCTGCTATAGTTGGTTGTTTGATGGGCAAGTTTGCTTGGTGAGTTGGAGAGCAACTACGTGAGTTTCATACAACAGACGAGTACTTTTGTGCGAGTTCTTTAGACGAGAACTTGTTGATCAACGAGTAGTCCGGACAAAGCAAGTTGGGCTGTCAAAACGACTCGTTGTTTGTGAACAACTCGTGTTCGGCTATTTCGCTAGGTTAACGAGCTTTCGTGTTCGGCTCAAAATACTACTCATCAATTATATATATATATTTGATGTGTAATTTTTTTTTTAAATTTAATTGACTACAAGGGTACAAAGATTTATAATCAATTAAACAATCATTAAATTAGATTTAGATAATGTTTTAATATGAACAATAATTTTTAAGTTTTTCCCCAACCTTTAACATCTCATGGCTACGGGATTATGGTTGCAAAATGACTCTTTGTTTGTGAACAGCTCGTGTTCGGCTCGCTAAGCAAACGAGTTGAACACCAACACACTTTTTGAGCTCGAAATATAAACAAACCGAACATGAGCTGAGCCTGGGCTCACTTGTTCTGCTCGTTTACACCCCTGCTCTTAACAAGAGTACGAAAACATTTTAGACCTATTAGTTGAGTACAACAACTAAGCGTTAATGTCAGCGTTACTGCCAGATCTTAATCCAATTAAGACTTCGAGAATCTTTTGAGCTTGATTGAGACGCATAAGGATGTGCATATTATTTCACATGAGCTTAAGAATATGCTTATATAATAGGAATGAATTTGCACGGAAAGCAAATTTGCTTAGGGCTCATTTAGTTGCTTGAAGTCAGAAATTTTGTTTGTAAGAAGGCTGAATTTACTTGATTCTACATTGTAATTAGTAATCAATATTGATTCTTAGATCCATACAAATACCCTCAAAATCTCTAGAACGTAATGATTTCATTTCGAAATACAAAATTTGTGGAATGAATTATCATCTTCTGAAATATATTTTAATTATTCAAGCTATAAAATGATTTCTCAGGGCAATTTGAATTAGGATATTTGAGATATTTGAATGGATTGCTGTTGTTTTGTAAAATTAATAGAAATGCCTTATATTTATTATCTTATGGCCAAGAATATCCTGAGTGAAAATTTTCCACTTGCATTATATCCAAATGCTTGATGATAGGATAAATTTTTTTAATAAAATATGCATAATGCCTTGGCAATACCACTTGCCCAATGGTATAAAGTTGAATAAACTTGAAGACATTTGTGAAGCTTGTTTTTAGAGGATTATTTTTTGTGTCCATATTCTATGAATGGATTCTTATTTAAATATATTCTCATAACTGCATGAATTGAAATGACTGCCATGTCCATCTGTTTGTGAGCTCAGCTCCATTAATTTGGCCTGGATAATGATTCAACGTATGTCCTCAATCAACAACAAGCTACTTAGTTTACTTCAAAAATAAAAGGTGCATTTACATACATATCACACAGTTCTTATGTATTTACACATCTACCAAATATACTTTCATATTTACTTTTTAAAACACTCAAACCTTATACATCACATAAAAAAATATCACAATTATTAATTTTTTAAAAGTGAAGTACTTTAAATGCATAGATTTATGACACCAAAGTTATATAAGTGTAAATATCAAACTTTAGGTGTTAGATGTATAACTAAATAAGAATTGTGTGGTATGTATGCAAATTTCCCCAAAAAAAACAAGGTAAATTGCAAAGATGTAATAAAATTATTGGGTGTGCTATGTAAAATGTTCAGAAATAAATTAACTGATGATATTTTGTGCCAATTTTAGGTGAGGATATGCACATAATTCATTGGATTGGAAGCCTTCCCTTTTATTTTGTAGAATATAGGTTTTATCTCATAAAACATAATTTTCTCTCTTGCTTTAAGATAAATACTTACAAGTAATGTCTTGCCACCTAAAGATTGTGGGCATGTTCTCACCAATAGGTGGCTCAATATAACGTTAGCCTTTTTTTTTTTTGCAAGTTCGCATTGTGCATACTTTCTATCCAACAACTTCAAGAACACAACAACAACAACAAGAAGCCTTTATCCCACTAAGTTGGGTTGGCTACATGAATCTTTTTTCTTCATTTCTTCATTGTTTCCTATTCTTTTTTCTTCATTGTTTCCTATTGAGTGTCATATTTTCATTTAATTCTAAAGGATTAAGATCATTTTTTATACAATATGCCCAAATCGTTTTAGGTCTACCTATGCTTTTCTTAATATAAGTCGAATCTAAAACATCCACTCTCCTAACAGGATCACCAGATGGTCTGCGTTTAATGTGAATGACCAAGACATTGCCATTGCCAGGTCTTGAGCTCAGGATGCGAAAAATATTAAGTTGCATCAGGTAGTCGACAGCTAGCGTAAAATTTTTGTCAAAAAGTTATGACATAAATCCTTTAAATCATTGTGAGAACTTCAAGAACACAACTGTCTTTAATAATCTAATATATAATTTAGAAGTTGCTAACCATATATTCCATTATGTTATCTAGTAACATTTCTTTGTTGAGGCATTTACGTACATACCACCCAATTCCTATGTATTTACATGTCTAACCCCTTAAACTTTATTTTTTACATGAATGCCTCCCAAATCTTTCATATCACTTTAAAAATACCACCATTTTAACTTCTAAAAAGTGAAATGCTTCTATGTAAAAATTAAAGTTAGGAGTTAGCTATGAAAATAGATAGGAATTGATTGGTAGTTATGTAAATCATCCTTTTTTGTTAGATTTTTTTTATAGCGATTCAACCATGTATGCATCCGAGTTTAGAACTACTGCAGATTTTTACATTAACATTGCTCTGCTGTCTATGTTCAACAAGGAATGAAATTTATGTATTAGTATTTTATTTTTCCAGCTCTTTTAAATGTATTTATTCTTTGTGAATTTTCTTTTCAACTTCTCTCTCTCTCATTATCTGTACACAAAAATATAGGCTGAAGTGCTTTCTGCCCTTATCTACAAAATCAGAAATTCACCATCAGACAGGTTTGGCACTCATATCCTTTTTACATGCTCTACATTTTGTCCAATTAATTATTACTGTGTTCTTCTAAAAAAAATTTACTTGTAATTTTAACTATTAACCAATGGTGTGCTAACTAGTTGATTGAAGAATATTGTTCATCCTAATTATTCAATAGAATTTTTTTTGGGGCTAAAATTGTGGTGGAAGAGCATAATAACAATATTGCAGTATGTTTAGATTGATTTAAAAAATGAATTGGAGTTATCCATGAAGAAATATATATAAATGTTACATCTCTAGGACTAGATGACACTAATATTAAGATTTATTAGATGGTTGTTGGAGGCACACTAGTGGTTTGCTAATAAATTTTTTTTTAACAGGTATACTGTTTACCCAAATATACTGTTTCCTTAACAGGTATGCATGCTTAGTTGCAGAGTACATCTGTGTACCTGATTCACTACCTCAAGTTGTGGAGAGGCTTGCTGGAGCCGTAGATTGCACTGTTCAGAGGGATGAAGATGTTCTTAAGCATCTCCAAGGTGCAGAAGAGTACCTCTATGTGTCTGGCATCGCAGTGCGCTCAAAGTTTCGGTAACTACTTAATTCATCAATTTATTGAACTTAGTCTACGTAGATTCTATCAAAATAAATCATATTGTGCTAAAATTTTAATTTTGTGTTTGATATATATATATATATATATATATAGTAGCAGCAGATCTCAAATGGATGATAATATATTTAGGATATTTTGGAAGGTTTATAGTAGAAGTTAATAAGTTTAAAAATTAATGTAGAATTCTTTTATGCTTTTGATGCCTGAGTTGCTTATAGCATTTGTTAAAATGACATCAGGTTATCATATGTGATGCTAACCCGCCTAAATTATCTGAAAAAAAAAAAGTTGTAAGCGTACCATGATTCAAATTTAGCCTGAATAGAATTTCTAGTTATCAAGTTTGCTGTTCAACGAGTTCAGTATATGACTAATCAGTTAAAATTTGTAGGATTTACAGACATACCAATTAAGTCACATGTATTTATAAATCTAACACCTAAACTTCAATTTTGACAGATAAGCCATCTTATCTATGCATGAAAATATATCTTTCACTTTTTAATAGTGAAAATGGTAGTATTTTTTATTTGATATGAAGGATTTGGGTGGTATAACTGTACCAAGTTTCAGTATTAGATATGTAAATACATAGGAATTGAGTGGTATGCATGTAAATGCCCCTTAAAATTTATATTGCACTTATGGCAAAGTAAATCTAATAATTATAAAATAAATGTAGACCACCCAAAATTTATCCAAAATTCCTCAATATGTATAAGACTAACAAGATATGTTCGATATTCAATCTTCACCAAATTTAACTTTCATCTCAATCGGATCGTTGGCACAAAAAATAGGTCTGGATTAGCATTAAAACCTAATTTGGATCAACTTGGTCCAAAATATTAAAAGTCTGAAACTGCTTCTAAAATCACAGGAGGCAGAAGGTAGGAACTGTGCTGCTCAAAGCCTGTGATGCTTTGTCACAGCTATGGGGTCATGACTATATTGCTCTGAGAGTCTATGAAGATGATTTGGTAGCCCAGAAATTGTATTCTAAGGTTGGTTTTAAGACTGTTTCTAAAGATCCACATTGGATTACTTGGATTGGAAGAAAAAAACGAGTTCTAATGATCAAATACTCTGCTTGATCATACAATTTTTATTTAGAAAAATCATGTCTTGCAGCTTATGTTATATATTAGGAAGATTTACAAACCTTACACTAAATTCCTATGTATTTACATATTTAAAATTTAAGCTTCAATTTTTACATACATCACTTTATCTATGCATGAAAAGGCGTATTTTAATTTTTAAACGTTAAAATGATGGTATTTGTGCTGTGCTATGAAATATTTGGGTGGTAAAAACATAACAAAACAAAATTTAGGTGTTAGATATGTAAATTCATGGGAGTTGAGTGGTATGCATGTAAATGCTCCTTAAATGGAAGATTTACATGTGTGCCACTTAATTCTTATGTATTTACATGCCTGACATCTATATTTCAATTTTTAAATGTGCCTCCTACGCACATGTTAAGAATTAAAATAGTGATATTTTGATTTAACAGACAAGGTTTGAGTGATAAAAATTCAAGTGTTATATATGCAAATATAAGAATTGGGCCCCCCTTTTTTATGTTAACTAAACAATATACTGTATGTTCCTATTGTTATAATGTACAAACGTTGGAGAACTTCCCAGAGAATACCATCTATTCTTAAGTTCCAATTAGACAAAAGCATGGTTAGCTTAGATCTAGTGTTTGCATATGCTTAATCTGGGAATCGTAATGAAAAAGTCTAGCACAAACTTCTTAGATAATGTCATGACCCGAGCCATGGTTTGAAATTAACTAAGATTGGAAAAATTGATGAGACAATGGGAATTGAATTTTTCCATATTATTTTCTCTAACTGATTATTAATCAAATGAAAGAGGGCTAAATTATTTAAACTAAAGTACTATTTTACATTATAGTTTAACATAACTGTAAGCTGAACGAGCCAGTGAATACTCGCACTTATAAATCACAATAATATAAGAGAAAATGAAACAATATACATATCAATCAATATTTTAATAAATCAATAAAATATTTGATGTTATTAAAAGAACATTATCAATATCATATTATATATATACAACTATAATTGGATTTTTGTTTAAAAATGATGTGAATTAAGACATTAATATGAATATTTTTTTTTATATTAAAAAAAAAAGGTAACACAAATATCTTTGCACAAATGACAATATAGTCCCATATGAATTTTTTTTTATAATATATAACACATAAACATCTATTCACAAAAGACAGGAGTCCAATCTGAAATTTTTTTATGTCCAACAACCATTGACTGCACTTTTTGCCCACGAAATATTTTATCCATCTTAAAATACATTTTCCAATAACTGACGAACAGCATATAAAATCTCAAATAATACAATTATCTCCAAAACAAAAATTCTTCATTTAATGGGGTTTATTTGGGATCATTTTTGTAATTTTATTTTTTTCCTTTATTTTAAATTCATTTTTACATGTTTTTATTTTTTATTAAAAAAACAAATTAATTATTTTTAAAAACACTTGACAAAAATAAATTTATTTTGAGTATTTTTAAAAATAATTAAAATATTATAATATATAAAATATATTTTATTTTAAATAAAGTAAAAAATAAAAATCAAAAGTGATCCAAACAGCCCCTCACCTAATTTTTTCTCATAAGCTGATGAAAAATGTCGAGAAAGACTGAAAAAAGAGTGGGAGTTGGTTTCTCTACTGGAAACTTGAGAAGATTTGCAATTTTTGAGAACTCTTTGCTGCTGAGAGAAGGATCAAACTGCTTATCATCAGACCTGGGCTTCAGTTTAAGAAGCTTTGGCGGAGACAAAGCCCATTGCATGGCCCATATGGCTAATGGACGCATGTAGCTTAGTGACCTGTACTCCCCTTGAACATTCAATGCTTCAGGTATTCGGAAAGCATATCTGTCATGCATACCAAAGTTTTAATTTACATTTTCGTGTTTTCGCAGAAGAACATAAATTATTATTTTTATTTGCACTTTACTAAAGTGTTGAAATAGTCCACGGACAATTTACATCGGGTTTAAATCAGATTCCTGGATATTTTTAATATGGGCTGAAATAATATTCAGAAAGGACAATTTTATCCCACACTAAAAGAGTTTGGGACCATGATGACCGCTACACATAAAGTCAGAGGACTATTTTGATGCTTTTCTCTAAAATAAATATTTATCAAGTTCTTATATAGTTTTCGGTCAAACAACAAATTATCATATTCCTTGGCACACAAACACAACTGTGTCAATGTTCAAAATTTTATGGCAAATTTCTAAAATTTTGTCCAAGTTTTGTCAGTTATCTAGTTATGAACAAGTGAATTATTTGTGTTCGCCGCAACCCTAAGCATACATACGTTGATTAGTGTGTGCTGTTTTGCAAAATGTATAATAAAAAAAAAAAGAAATCACGAAATGATATAATCTCACCCAAATCCTTCAGAAGACCAAGAAGATTCATATATCCCTTGTGCACTTTTGAATGCCTTCTCTGGCATGCCTTCTTGGATCATAGCAGCAGCAACAGCAAAAGTAACTCCAGCCCATATTTCTTTTGCCTGCAATCCTAATGATCCAATTTCACCATCTGTTCTTACTCCATTCATAACTCCCATCTTACCATTCTTCACTTTTAGAACATTGAATTCATAAATCATTTCAAGTGCACTTCTGGCTTTCTCTCCATCAACTATAGGCTGAAGACCAGATGCTCTGGCAAACCTGCAAGGGTGGTTATGAATTTTGAAACAGTGTAATGTGCAGAAAGTGGAAAGTCTTCCAGTAAATTCAAATCAGTTTATTTAAAAAAAATATTTAAACTTTCAGAGTTTTAGCAATATATTAGTTCAACTTGCAATAGCCATTTAGTACATATTTGTTTTTCATTCCCTAACATTGATGGTTATTCAACCAAAAGAAGAGTTTAGAATGAATTTAGTTTTAATAATGACCCTCTACCATACTTATGATATAGGCACACAGAAAATGCCACATTTGAGGGAGGCTAGTAATTGTCAAAGAAATTGTTGTCGTTTCTGGGAACTAAAACTAAAAATACAAAAAAACTTGATGGTACAATGGGGGGATGTGGGTAGAGGTTAAGGGTGGTGATTGTCCCTTGGCAATTCTGATTGTTTATGTTGCTCCTCAGTCAAGTTTCATAAGATGAGATTTCTTGTTATAAATGAGGCTTGAATCCAAAATTTTGGCAATAATTTTGAAGATCTTTATCAATTGGATTGGTTGTGCACTCACAATTTTGATCATTTATATTGAACACTCATTTAATATCTATTGTAAATAGTTTTCAAGGTCGCTATAACACCTGAGAAAAGATCAAAATGATCTCTAAAATACTAGAATGGGGTTATTTGAGTCCCATACTATTCAACATCTTTAATATAGTCCCATGTCTGCTTAAGTATCATGCAAAACAAGTCCTCTGCCAAAAACAGTGTAATTTGATTCAAAGTGCATGAAAAGTTGAGTTATGAAAGTAGTGCATATTTGGAAGATTAATATTTGTCAAATTCTAATAGAAGAATTGGAATTACTTTGTACGATATTTAAGCAGTCGAGACACTATATTTAACACAGTAGATAAGATATCACTAAAATAACCTCATGCAAATAATCTTGGAGACAATTTAAACCATCTTCTCTATTACACCTAGTTTTTAAGACATAAGAAGTCCGCATATTTTACTGAGTCAAGTACCATACCATTGTCCTGCCAATTGGTCAGCATGAATAGCTGAGTCTCCACTTACGCTGTCGTCATAATTGAAATAAGAACCATTCCACAATTTTCCATAGACTGCTTTTGCCTTCAAATATCTATTCCAGAAGAACTCTTCAGAAGCCTCATCACCAACTAAACGAGCCAAGCCTGAAGCGGCCTGTAAAGCCGCCACCCAAAGCCCTCCAGTATATGCACTCACACCCAAAGCCGGCCACATATCATATGTTTGATCAGGACTTCCATCATTCTCAATCATTCCATCTCCATCTTTGTCAAATTGATCCATATAAGCCATAGCAACATAAACAGAAGGCCACACAGCATGTGCAAAAGATACATCGCCCGTAGCCACCGCATCTCTATAAACTTGAAGAACGAATTTAGGATTAAGATCTTTCCATCTATTCGAGTCATGGAGGTTATAAGAATTTATCTCAAACCATGGATCGTTTTGTCCGAGATCATGAGGAACCGCTCCAAAAACCTTTCGCGGAGCCTTTTCGTGACCGAAAATGGGTTTAATGTTCTCGGGGTCGTGTATCAGCACTGCCATAGCGAAGTCTCTTTGGATGCTTAACTCGAGTTTTGGGAATAGCATGAGGAGAGCAAAAGACGAGTAAAAATGAACGTCGTAAGTGTTGAACATATGATATTCGCTTCCTTCAAGATACAAGAATTGGCCAACATTTTCTTCTCCCTCGAGAAGCAGTGATGTTCCCAAGGCAGGTTTTGGTGCAATATGAGAGTGTGGAACCTCCATCAATGAAGTCATTTTGGTGAGAATACCAGCGGCGGTGTTGCTTACTAAAGGATTAGTCTTGACATTCTGATTTAAGCTTGAAGGGTCAAGATAGAATTTTCTTTCTTCAATGCTGACTAGGTTTTGAATGGAAGGCAGTCCATCTGTTGAGGAAAGCAGATTAAGATTCCATTTATTAGTAAAACAATACTTTGATGATCTTAGATTAATGTGCGAAATTACCAGTCCAAATTGCGCCACCAGCATTTAGATAGTAGAGTTGATTGAAAAGAGTAGGAGGGTACCTGGAAAGAATATTTTAACATAAAAATACTTCCTTTAAAAAGTTTATTAGTTTATACGAGTTTTGGAAGCTACCAGGAAGGAAGATTCTTGTCCTGCAATATGGGGGTTTGCCAATCTTCAATCTGTGCCTCCCAAATTCCATGTTCTTTGTAACAGTATAGAAAGAAAAATATTTCTTAAAGTCTTTTTAAGTATTGTTTGTTAAAATAAAGATGCAAAACTAGAAGTTCAGAAGTTAAAAGTGTATAATAGCCAAGAATTCTCTTAAAATGCACTTTGCTACTGGATGCTGTTGACCTCATTTTAGTGAGGTCTTAGTCTTCTACTCTTAGAACCTAGGATCTAGCTTTAGGAGTTCTTATTGACAATCCTAGCGGACTAGCAATGGAGCCCACCTCCCGTAGAACTTCAAGCCACTTCTTGACTCATTTTTGTGAAGAACTCGCATGAGTGGTTCCGAGCACTCAACTTCTAGTTGTAAGGGCTAAGGACCAACATGTAGAGGGCCCGAAATTGAGTTCCTATAGGATCAACAGCCTTAGGTGAACCCTTTGTGACTCGATTACTCGCGAACG